TTCTTTTTATACTCTTGTAGTTCTCACTCATTTCCTTGTAGTTGTCTGTGAGTTCCTTCAGCATCCTTATACCATTCTTTTGAATTCTATATCTGATAGTTTGCCTGCCTCCATTTCATTTAGCTCTTTTAGTTGGGAGTGTTCCATTTCTTTTAATTGCAGGTTCTTTCTTCATCTCTGAATTTCAGAGGTGATTTCGTTTTGCTTATTTCTGTAATTTCTCATGCTGTGCTTTGCTACCTGTCTCCGTAGGGTGAATTTCTGTGGTAGGACTTTTGTCAGACCTAGTGGTGTAGTCTCTTTGATCTCCTTGTCTGGATTCTCTAGCGTTGTCCTTTCTTCCATTTGTGTGATCTCTCTTATTGTACTTGGGTTTTACTTGTTGGTGGCTCCTTTGTTAGTGGGTTCTCCTCTCCAGCAGGTTTACTGGTATTCACAGCCTTCACCTTATATGAAGAGGGGCTGGATGAAGGTGAAATGGATTAAGATAGCAGGAGAATATTTTATGGGATTTAAAGCACCAACAAGTACAAAACAGATTGGGAATCCTTTGGAGAAGTATAGCAATAACCATATTTCACTCAACTAGCCACTTTTATAAAATGTGAAAAAGAGATAAGACTCTTCTTAGAGGAGAAATAGAATGTGAACTGACTCCAGAAAGCATAGCACTGTGTGAGCTTAGATGGTGAGATATAGTGAGAGTAAGGGCTAGAAACTTGGCATAGTGTGCAAGAGAATAAAGTTAACTGCAACAGGAATAAAGCTCAGGAAGATAGTCAAATGGACCAAGACTAGAGAAGGATGCTGTGTGGGAATTGGAACAACAATAATGTGACAAGAAATATATGATCTAAATAAAAAGAATAAAATGTAAAAGACCAAAAGTAGTGTGTTTTTGTGTATGAGTGAAGTGAAGGAAGGGGAATTAAAATGCAATATGAAAGGGAGAAGAAAGAAAATCTATCAAACAATGAAATCAAACAAATAAGACAAAGAAAAATAAATAGAAGAGAAATAAAAAATAAAATAATGATACAAAATAATAATAACAAATATAAAAATGAAAAGCAATAAATAAGATGCAAGTTCTATAGGATAACAAAGTGAATTTTGTTTTAGTTGTTGGTGTCAGCCTTCTGATCTTTCTCTGGATCTGTCTTTTGTCCTTTTGCAGCTCCAGGTCTTACTGTCCTGGAAAAAGGGAAAAAAAATCCTCTTGCTGACTTTAAGCCTGTGGGTCCTCCTGGTGTTTTTGGATGCTGCAGGCAGAGGGAGGCCAGGTTCTGTTTTTTTCCTTTCCTGTGGTTATGTGTTGGGGTCTCGGTCTGGGCTACAAGATTCACAGGTGTCCAGTCTCCAGCCCAAGCCCTCAGAGTGCTGCGTGCCTTCCACTGTCCATAGGCACCAGGCTGGCACCTTTAATCCACCTTGTTGTGCCACTCTTTGATTAGTCCGTGAGGTGCACTGAGTGGGAGCAACTCACACACTTTCTCCCTTTTTGCTGGCCTGGGCACTGCATGTGCAAGTGCAGTTTAGTTCCCCTATTAAAATAAATTTCTCTAGGGACTGCTGCTCCTCTGAGCTCCTGCTGTCCCACTTTGATCAGTCTGGGAGGTGCCCTGACTTGCAGCAAATCACATCCCTCCTGCTCACCCTTCACTGGCCTGGCTGTAGGGCATGATAGTTTCTTGAATAGCAGCTGAGAGCCTTTTATTTTGAGCAAATTTCCCTTGGTTGCTGACAGCTGTTCTTAACAAAAGCCTGGCTTTTCACACAGCCCAACTCTCTGACCAGTCTCAAGATTATCTGGGTCAGTTGAAGCCCAACTCTTCTCTCATCTCACAAGGTATCACCTGGCTCCCAAATTTCTCTGGTACTGTTCTAGCCAGGGACCACTGTCCCAGCTGGAGAATGCTACCTCTGTGGGTCTCCCACTGCTTCCTTTTTTTTAAATAAAAATTTTTTATTTATTTAATGTTGTTCAAGTACAGTTTTCTGTTTTTTACTCCCGTTCCAGACCACCCTCTCAGTGCTCCCCACCTCTCTCCCATTTCCACCCCCCTTAGTTTTTGTCCATGTGTCCTTTATACTAGTTTCTGTAAATCCTTCCCCTTTCCCCCTGGAATTCCCTCCCCTCTCCCCTCTGGTCACTGTCAACCTGTTCTCTTTTTCAGTGTCTTTGGTTATATTTTGCTTGCTTGTTTGTTTTGTTGTTTAGGTTCCTGTTAAAGGGGAGATCATACGGTATTTGTCTTTCATCTCCTGGCTTATTTCACTCAGCATAATGCTTTCCAGTTCCATCCATGCTGTTGCATAGGGTAGAAGCTCCTTTCTTTCTGCTGCATAGAATTCCATTGTGTAAATGCACGATAGTTTTTGGATTCATTCATTTACTGATGAGCACCTATGTCCCACTGCTTCTTTATCCCTCTCAGTGACTTTAAGCATCCGAGTCTCTAGTGGTGCAGGACTGGTTTCCCTGCTCTGGGAGGGGCAGCAGCTTTGAAGTTACAATCACTGATCTGGCCTGGCTCTCCTCCAAAGTTCTCCTGGCAGCCACTGTCCCTGGTGCTGAGGTAGGGGACCACAGCCTCCATGGTCCCAGTGCAGGTCCCAGGGACCTTCCCATCTGCCTGTGCAATCTTCTTACTGTCTGTTTTTAAACATCATCTGCAATGTTTGGTCTCCAAACTTCATATAAGCTTGGATTCCACTGGCTGTTCACTCTGTTCTTCAGAAGCATAATATAATAGTTTTCAATAGTGCTTTAAATTGCATAATTTTTAAAGTTTAAATGCTTATTGGTAACTGTGAATTATTTATACCCATGTTTCTGAAATTAAGAAAGGGACGTATAGTCTAGTTTTCAAACTCTCTATGATAATTTTTATTTTATTACTTTCATTACAACGGCCTAAAGAAAATTCACATAAACACATTCTGGATAATTTGCATGACCAATTTATAATCCAGTAGGACCACAGAATGTGCATCCATATATATTATATTATTTCACATAGTAGATTTGTAATTGGTGTTAACAAATAAAAAAGGACACACATAAAATATAAAGTAGCTTTGGCCTGGTGGCTCAATTGGTTGGAACATCATTCTGTACACCAAAAGATCACAGGTTTGATTCATGGTCAGGCTGCATACCTAGTTTGCAGCTGTGATCCCCATTCAGGGCACGTACAAGGAAGAAACTGATAAATGTTTCTCTGTTACATTGATGTTTCTCTTCCAAAATATCCACAAGAAATCTACTAGTGGTAACAAAAAATGGAACAACTTTGCAGGTCATAAGAGCAACATACAAAAATTATTTGTGTTTCTATATACTAACAATGATAATCCATAAAAGAAATTAAAAGGCAATTTCATTTTCAATACCATTTAAAAGAACTAAATACCTGGAAATAAACTTAACTAAGGATGTGAAAGACTTGTATACTGAAAACTATAAAGAATGAATGAAAGAAACTTTAAATGTTCAAGTAAAGGAAAGGGCATCCTGTGTTCACATTTTAGGAGAAAAATTGTTGAGACATTAACACTACCTAACTGAGCACATATTAAATGTGATTTCAATAAAAATTTCATCATGCCATTTTACATAAACAAAGAAGGTAGTCATCAAATTTACATGGAATTGCAAAGAGTCCAAAAGAGCCAAAAACAATGTTGAAAAAATATTGGAGAACTCACACTGCTGATAAGGGATATGTATCCAAAATATGTTTAAAACTATTAAATTAAAAAATAAAAGACCAAACAACTACATTTTTTGAAGGGAACAAGAGATCTGAATATTTGGCCCCAAAGAATATATATATGTATATATAGTAATAAGCATATGAAATAAATGCTCCATGTTGTTAGTCATTAGGAAACTATAAATTAATACCCCAATGAGGTACCAATACTTACTTATTAGAATGATTAGCATAAAAACAATTGTAAATTGTCGAATCTTTTGTGGCATGTGAATAAAAACTGTGGTGTAGTCATAAATGGAATACTATTAACCAATAAAAAGTAACATACTATTGATTCAAACAACTATGAATGAATCTTAAATTATTCTGAGTTCTTCTAAATTATCAATTCTAAACAAGTACCTGTGCCCCTGCTTCCCTGGCAGGCTCTGCAGCCCAAGCAGAAGTAACTTTGAGCACTAGAGAGGGGAGGGGTTTGGTGGAACTGAGAGGGAATTCTGGGGAGCAGAGGTCCTGACCCAGCTGCCCACATACAGGTGGCAGGTTTGGCATCAACACCTGCAAGGCAGTGGTTTACTTTCTTTTTCCTTCAAGTCATGCAAAATGTAGTAAAAAATGTAAGAGGAGAAAATAGGCTACCAAATTGATCCAGATCCTTACCAATCCTGTTTCTCTTCATTTCTGCAGTTGCCAGCTTCCGTCTTCTAAGAAAGACCATGAAGATTCCACCTTCTCATTAGCCCGGACAACCCCTTCACTTCTAGCTTCCTATTGTATATACTACTTCTCAGCCAAGAAGCAAAATGATAAGTAGATTTCAGAGTTTCAATTTCCTTTTCTCTATTCTCTGGCAACTGAAGAAAGCTTGTGTGTGACAGTCCCTGGGGTTTCATGTTTGTCTTCACAACACCTCGCAAACAAAAGAGCCCTGTTTTGGGCTCAAACAAAGGGCTTATTGTTTCCAAAAGGACCCAGTTGATGGCCCAACAGTTTTGCGGTGAAGCCATGGTGGCACCCTGACAGCAAGGCTCTTCCCACTAGAGCCATAGAGGAGGTGGGGAGATGAGAGGTGGGTAGGTGGGTTGGTATCCATGGGGGGGATGCCAATGTCAGAGGCTGGCTGGGGAGCTCCTGGATGTGCCTGTTGAGGAGCCCTGCACTCACTGTGGAGGTGATTGGCAGGTTGATGGGAGAGGTACCAAAAATATCAACAGGAGCTGTCCTTGACTCAGGCAAGGGGGAATAACAGAGAGGCTCTGGAGCCAGAGATGGCCTCACCCTCTCCCTGCAAAGTACTACTGATGTGCTGGAACAGTGTTTTCTTCTCTGCTTTGATGTCTTCCTCCATGACTCTGAACTGCAGCTCAGGAGGCAGGGGCAGCCTCAGAGGTTCTCTGCACCTGTGGGGCAGTAGAGGAAACTTGTGTTTGTGGGGTCTGGAACTGTCACTGGCAGGTAAGTGGCTCCTCTAGGATCGTTTCTGCCCTCTGGGCCATCTTGGTTCTTTTCAGGCTGGCTCTTCCTCTGCAAAAACATGGAAGCTGAGGAGGGAGCCTATGGGCCCTCCTGGCCCACTGTCTCTGAGGACTTCTGGGGAAGCTTGGTATGCCTCTGCCTCTCCACTGGTGGGAAACCTGGAGTGGAGCTATAGGAGTTTCTGAAGGCATTTCTTTAGAGGCTCATCACAGAGGCCTGGGATTGTCTGAGGCATGTGTGTTCTGGGCTCTGGGCATGGAAGACTCTCTGCAGAGTCACAGGCCTGGGCACAAAGGAAGAGAGGCTTCCCTGGACCCCCAGGGGCATAAAGGCAGACTGTGTTTCCCCAGAGCCATCAGGGTCCCTTCCCTGATTGGCCTGTCTCTCTAGGACTGAGCAGTCTCCTACCCAGTCATCCATCTCTTGCCTTTCTCCACAGGCCCCTCTGATGGCAATGCCTGCATATTAAGGTAATGGTCCTCAGAAAACAGCTCAGGGCCTGTGGGATCCTGAAACATAATCATAGAGACCTTGTGATGGCTAAGCCAGCAGATAGTTACAGGATGGCTTTGTTGTGACTGGTCAAGGCTGGACAGGTTCACTCTGGATTTGGACAGACAGAAAAATATTCATGGAACCATTGGGATGCCTTTATTCAAGGGTGGGCAATGCATGCATGCTACAAGCTGTGTGTCCCCCTGCATGTCCCTGTTACATGTCACTTGTCCTGTGTGGCACCCAGTGAGGAGCCTCTACCCCCTTAAGTACTAGAATATAGACAAAGCCAGCAGGTTGACAAAAGATATTATGTAGCAGAGATTCATATTATTCATGTGATCCCACTCTAGGCTATGGGAAGTTTATCGGACCCAGTCTCAAGGTTATGAGAACGCTACTTATCAGGACCATCTCAAGGTTATGGGAAACTGCCTCCCTTAGTTCCCCAGACACTGGGGTGAGGAAGCCAGACTGCCTCCATTTACCCTACCATTGCCTTTGAGTGGCAAATGAACAGCTGGGTCCTGCTGCTGCTGGTGGAATAAGGAAAAATGGCAGAAAAGATGATCATGGTTCTGGCTCCTAGATACCCAGTTTGAGGGGTGGAGGTAGAGCCTGCCCAGGTGATGGTCCATTGGGCACTTGGGTTAGGTCTGTCCTTGAACAGAGAGAGAGAGCCCAGCGAACTCCTTTAGCTGTCAACACTGTTGAAAGTCAAAAGCTGACTGTTGTGCCTGTTACTAGGACACACTTGGAGCTGCCAGTGGTGCAGGGGTGGTGTGTATCTGCCAGTGCGCCACAGTTCTAGGGGGAGGGTTGCAAGGACAAGGGCCAGAAGACATGCAGATCCACCAGGGACCTTCAGGTGCTTCCCTATCTGCTGAGGATTGGCAATGTTGGCTTGAGGGCCATGAGCGTATTGACAGGCAGGCCCCTGCTTCCCTGGTTGGCCCTACAGCCCTAGAGAACACAACTGTGTAGGACTAAAGAGGTGAGGGGTTCTATTAAACTGAGAAGCTCTGGGGAGCAGAGCTGCCCATGCACAAGTGGCAGCTTTGGTATCAGTACCTGTGAGTCCTCCTGCCATTTCCCTTGGGGACACAGGAAGGGGAGGGGGAGGGGAGGGAGAGGGGGAGAGCTGAGTCCCTAAGATTAAAAGCGCCCATACCACTCATTTCTCCTGGGGTGACACCTGAAGTGACAACAGCCATTGCAGGTGGGGGGAGGAGACATACTTAATAAATGACCTACAATTCATCAGGGATATTGGCCTATAATTTTTTTCTTTGTAGTGTATTTCTGTGGTTTTGTGGCCTGGATAATGCTTGCTTCATAAAATGGGCACAGTGAGGGTGTCAACTGCCTTGTGTGGCCTCATGGTGTGTAAGGCTGAGCAGGTCCTGCTGGTTCACCTCTAGTAGCCACAGCCCCACTTGCAGGCCATCATTGCTCTCAGTCACTCCCGCAGGGTTTGGGGGAGCTCACCTTGGACAGAGAGGGCACAGAGGCTATAGCCTCTTCTTTTTTCTCCTTTTGGATAGCCTATATGGCTTCCTGATGGCTCAGCCCTTCTGCCTCTGGGGGTCCTCAGGCTCACCCTGGGAGGCTGTGCTGGTAGACAGGTATGAGTTCCTGCTCTGTCCCGACTTAGCCCTCAGCCTCTTCCTGGAGGGCAAGGGAGGTCCAAGGTCAGGCCTCCAGGAGGCTTTGGTCCAACACTCTTCCACATCCCTCTTCACTTTGAGCTCACTGGGGGATGCATGAATAGACACTGCAGGTCCTGCTTCTTGGCAGCAGCCTCCTCCACATCCTCAGCAACTTGATGACACTAATGGGGATGACACTAATGAGCTAGACATTGCTCCCGCTCTCAGAAGGGCTGCTCTAATGCTTCAATTAAAAGAAACAAATGCTATGTTTCAAACCTGTTATGAAAATCTCAGCATTGATTCATGGTTGCAGATGGGGTAGCTGAGTAATCTATCACAAATCCAAATCAACTTGTATACCCAAGTGCAGCCATTACACCGGGACTTTTAGAGTCACTATTTCACAGCACCAAAAATCCCAAGATCACTGCAGGATCCTCCTAACATTCACACTCACTGAACCGCATGGCCAGGACAACGCAAGACAGCATGGTCTGGCACTCATTCTGAATCCTTAGGTCCAGACAGGAAAATCTCCTAAGCACATGAAAAGCATAACCCTTGGGGCATTAAAACAACAACAAACACACATTAGATTTTATTGTCAAATCTTTTATCCACCTGTTAGACTTTAAGTCTCCATGATTTTATCTACATTTATTAGCATATTGTATGCCTGTGTACTGCCCTTTTCAGGAATCCTTATGTATACAGGAAATGAGAACTCACTAATATAGTGGTGGAGGTTATACTGGTAGCTTACCCCTTCCTCCATTTCCTCTTGTTCCTTAATAAGAAGATCCTAATTGTATTTTAGAATGGTGATATGATCATCTGAATTAAGTGCTCATAACTGTTTACTAAGATCTATATAGCACAGGATCCCCAAACCAAGGAGCTACTTATGTGTTTGTGATATTCTGAAAAGAACTATCCAGTGGACTAGGAGATGAGGACATGCTGTTTAATACATTACAGGAGCATGCACTGAGGGGTAGCAAGTGGGTGCGAGAGAGACTACACCTCCTCCAGTCTGAGGCTTGGTTATAAGGGGTCCCAGACAAAGGAGGCATGTGGGACTCCTACCTGTGACTCTAAACTACATCACTTCAGTGTGTACGTGCAGCAAGAAGTAGTCACAGGACAAGAAGCCACTCCCAAAAGGAGATAAGGAGGGAGTTGCAATCCATTCCCAAAACAAAACACATTCCTTTTGGCAAGTGGCCATCTGATCAGCCCTCAATCATGGGAAAGGGGGAGGGCCATGTCCATTGACTCCACAACCTATGGTTAATTTAGTCGTTTATGATGATATCAAGAGCAAATAAATTAGTTTGCTTTTCCCTTCATAGAAACATGTCCAAATAGGAGTTGAATCTCACTTTTACAAAATGTACATTTGTAATGCACTTTATTTTATAAAGCAAGAGTAATAAAAGGAAGGAAATGAGGTTTGCAATCCACTAAATATAAGATGCAGGTAACTGGAGCAGAGTTCATGGATGTTTAGATAAACAGAAATTCACCTGTATTTTTCTGTCACATTAGATATGCAATCACTTGAGATTCTATAATTGTCATAATAATAAATGTCTTTTAAATATTTAAAAAACTAACAGAATTAAAAACAAAATCAAAGAATTATACATTATCAAAAATGTCCTGATTTTTAACAGATGGATTATATAGGAATCTATTAGGACTAGAAGAAACAAATATAAAAATTAAAATTAAACACTCATTTAATGAGTTACACCAGATTATAGATAAAGAAGCATAGGAATGGAAGGTAGAGCTGACATGTTTTCCCAGTTCAGATATGCAAAGAAGTAGAATATTCAAACAAAGCTGTTAAATAAGGTGAAACACAGAATTAGGTCTGATAATCTAATTTTATTCTAAGGAGGAAATGGAAGGAATGGAGGAGATTAAGCATTTGAATTAATTATAGTGTAGAACTTCTTAGATTTGATAAAAATATATGATTTCTCAGACTTAGGAGACAGGATGAAACCATGGACTATCAACAAATTAAAAAATCCACTTATAGCCCTAACCAGTATGGCTCAGTTGGTTGGGAGTTCTTCCCACAAAGCAAAGCATTGCTGGTTTTATTCCTTGTCAGGGCACATGCCTGGGTTGTGGGTTCCATCCCTGGTCGAAGCATGTGCAAGAGACAACCAGTTGATGTTTCTCTCTCACACAGATGTTTCTCTTCCTCTCTTTCTCTCTCCCTTCCTTTCTCTCTAAAAATAAAAAATATTTAAAAAATCCACCTACAGATATACTGAGTTGCAATTAAAGAAAAACAAAAGGAGAGATAAAAACCTGAAGCATAGAATTATACAGTTTTCAACATTTATTCAAATAACAGTGAAAATAAAAATGATTTTTCAGAGATAAACTGAGGTAATTAAAGAACTGAAGGAGAATCAGAATGAAATACTGAGGTTCAGAAGAGACAACAAATATTAGTGAATGTATGAATATGCAGAAATGAAATATCCCCCAAATAAAATGAAAAGAAAAAACAAGCTAGAAGAAAAGTGTTAGGCAAAAGTCACATTTACTGTATGGCCATATTTGAAGAGCTCTTGTTTCAGAGCTGGAATAGAACAAAGAGAGTGTCCATGTGAGGTGGGGGGTGGGGAATTGGTGGCCTAATACAGGGAGTTAGAGCCCAAATTCAATGAAGAAGGTATCCAGAGGAGAGAAGGGAACAGATCCAGTGGAGTGCCAGAGCCAAGCACAGTGATGTGCTGGTGGGAGGCACTGTTCTGTTATGGGAGAACAGTTCCATGCAGGCGTATCAAACAAGTAAAGCAAATATATTAAGAGTAATGGTAGATAGTTTTCTCACTCATGGAGAGAACAGTTACAAATATTGAAAGGAAGAAAACTAGAACGAACCATGTGGACACCAGATGTGCAGCAGGCAGTTCTGCCTTCTGGAGCATTTCCCTTCTCTATGGTCTTTTAGGGAGACTATTGAGTGGGACTGGAGGCTGCAGCAGTCTGTCCCTGGTTGGTCCAAGCACACCCTCCAGAACCACCTGTCACCAGGCCTGTGTGTTTTATCTGTAGTCACAGGTACAGGGTGAGGGAGAGGCCCCAATAGGCCAGGGAGAAGCTGTGAGAGTCTGAGTGGCCTGCTCCTGAAGTTCTTGTGCCTTCAGAATCTGCTTAGGCCTGATCTCATCTTTACCACTTTCACCTGGTAATAAAGTGCTGCTTGCATGCCCAACTTTATTTTGACAGCCAGATGATACCTACATTATGGTGGGCAGTTCAGGTTGTGTGATCGATTTCTGGAAACTTCAATTAGGTTATAGGTCTCTGCATTGTTGTGGAGTATATCTCTCATCCTTTAGAATACATGTGTCTTAAGGAAGCCTGTGGTTATGTTTTTCCTGTTAGCAACCTCTAGTTATGTTTTTCCTTGTTATCAGTATACTGGACCATAGTATCTGTAGATGTTTTGATGATCAAGGTCTTTGTAAACTACACTATGACAAAAGCTAGAGAACAGATGAAATCTGAGATTGGACACTGAATTTGTACTGTTATACTTGCCATGTGAAAGCAAATTTCTGATGGTCCTTTCTAATTGATATAGAGGAGGAAACACATAAGCCAGATAAATAGCTGTGTACTAAGTGCCAGAGTGGCTGAATTGTTCTGTATCACATATGGACAAGTGGCTGAAAGGAGTCAACACTGATTAAATTGATAATAATCCACAATCATTCTCCAAGACCTACCAACTTTTTCACAGGCTAAACAGGTGAGTCAAGTAGGAATATGATAGGCACCCTGTCTCTGCATCTTTGAGGTCTTAATGATGTCATAGATCTCTGAAATTAATCCCAGGATGAAGTAATGCTAGTTTATTATATGGATAAAGAGAGAAAGTTCCAGGTTCCTGGGTTGGTTCACCATTTCTTTCATCTCATGTCTCCTTTCTTGCTTTTAATGTCAGTTATGCTGGAGTGTTTTTAAAACTAACTTAACTTCATTAGGGAGGGTTCATGGAAAGAGTTATTACATACCTGGGGATATTATTATTTTGTCCTTAAACTGGATGATGTTATGGCTGAGAATAGAGTTTTAGGTTCAAACTTTATTTCCCTGAGTTTTAAAAGTATATTTTCATCATGTCATAGTCTTCTATCCTGTGTTGCTGACAAGTCTCATCTATTTTTTTGAAACAAAACCCTTTTTCCTCCTGTGGATCATTCTAGAATCTTCCTTTTATCCTTGGTATTCTAAAATTTTGGTGACATGTATAGGTATAGAGCAGCACACAGAGGGTCCTTTCAATTTACATATCTGGGGATCTATATATCTTAGGAGACTGAAGTGGAAGAGGGTTGATATGCTGCTTTCCTACTTCTCTGTTTCAGTGCTGAGTCTCTGGTGATGCCTCCAGACTACAGCAGCTCACAGGGTGGCCATTTCTCCATAGTTCCCTGGTTCTGATGACATGATTTCCCCCCTGGTTCCTTTAGCTATAGGGTGGTAATGGCTTCTGCTAGTCTCTGGGTGCCTCAGCATTTCTTGAGTTTTCCCTTAACCCTGTACATTACTTTCCCATTAACAATTCTTCATTTGACTTATCTGAGGCCAAATTCTGTTCTCCACTTAGACTATAACTGATACGCTACCTTTCATTTTCTTGGTTCTTCCTTCCTGGAAATTTTATTAATTGGATGATGGATCACTTACATTCATTATCTACATGTATTATTTTTGCTCCTAGGTTTTTCATCTTTTTGCATGCTTGCTCTACATTATGAGGCATTTCCTTGTCCTCCCATCCCTTCTTGTAAAACATTTTTTCAATTTTAGCAGTCGTGTGTTTAATTTCAAGGGTCCTTTTTACTTTCTTGGTCTCTTATTTCCTAGCAATCAGCTGTGGTTTATGGAGTCAACAACTTTGTTAATCTATCTAAGAACTGATGGAAGTTTTTCATCTCTTAAAGTTCTTTTCTATTCCCTGAGTTATTTCAGTTTCTTTAAAGGTCAATTATTTATTTATCTTGACCTATCTCTTTTGTGCTGTAGATTTCCTAACCATATGGGATTCCTTGGTTCTCTGTTCATAAGAGTAGGAAACTAAGTGGATTTTTCTGAATAGTTGATGAGGCTTTCCTGTGCTATGGGTCTTCCAGGAAAAAAGCAGGACAGCTGGCTGAGAGCTCTTTGTGTAAGACAAAGTTGTCTGCACCCCTCAGGATGAGCAGATGGAGGATTTGGAACATTTCACAGGGGGTTGGTTATATGGGGCTGGGTCTCCAGGAATGAGCAGGAGTTTTCCAAGTGGAAAATGAGCTCAGAGTCCAGGCAGTGGAAACAACATCCACACAAGCCTGGATATGTGAAAGGCAATGGTATTCCCTTAATTAAAGAGATTAAGTGAAGGAGAAGTCTGAGTACCCTAGAAGTGCTTAAGGAGAGATAAAGGCAGACTGATTTCAGAAGTTCACCATGGATGAATATATGGGGCCTATTAGGACTGGGTTAGACTAACTTAGGTGAGAGGTGTGGGTGCCATGAGGCTAGAGAGTTTCACACTGGAATTGATAGGGATTGCTCATTAGCAGGGAAGCTGGGGTAGGAGGTAAAGGTGGAAACTTAGGGAGGTGGACAAGCACACAGGAAGAGCCAAATATACCTGAGGAATTAGTGCTCCCATTTGACTCCAAGGTGATTCAAGTAGAACATTCCCAAGGGGGTGGGAAGTGAAGTCTATCACTAAGCTACTGAGGGTCAATGTCTAAGTCAGACAAAGCACCACTTTTATGGTAGAGGGAAACCCCTACTGACCCCTTTACCAGAGACTGCGGAATATAGCCTGGCTAGTTGGTAGGACTTTCCAGACTGTGGTTCTGGCCCCATTTCAGTGAGTGGGGAAGCACAGATCCCAGCTTCTTGTTTGTGGGCTTTGCTTTCCTGGGGAGCTCCCAGGCTCCAGTTATGCTCTGTGCAGCACTCTGCTGCCGCCAGGGGGTGCTGATTCCTTCCCCAGCAAACAGAAAGGGTCTGATAGCCAGCTCCTGTAGTGTTGCTTTCACTAGGAATGTCTGCTGTGAGCAGCTCCCTCCCTCTATCAGGGACACTAAGTTCTGGAGAAAGAGCCTGGACTTGGGTTCAAATATCAGCTCCCCCACCTATAAATTGGTTGACTGAGAAAAGTCCCTCCTTTGAGCCTCAGTTTTCTCACCTGTGAAATGAGATGATCATCCTTTACCAAGTGGGTTTGAGGATGGAATTAGAGTAGATGCTTCCACCTTCACTACTTTCACTGCCCTCTCAGTTCCTCCTCTGTGTTCTGACCCATGTGGGCTAGATCTCAGGTCTGTGCACCCTGGCAGTGGTTCCCAAACACGTCCACATGACAGCTTGCCTCACAGGGCTCATCAGCAAGACCCCAGAGGGGTCATCAGCAAGACAGCTCAGACCTTACACACCTGCCCCAAGAGGAGCAGGTGATAGTGTCAGTTCTTGCCTGTACAGAGAATAGGTGTCTATCATTGAGTAGTTTCTGTGCAGGGAATACTCTGCACTTTAGACTACAGGAACCCATCATTACAATTAGAGCCTGCTAATGCATTTCTTCCTTCCTTTGTCAGATGTTGTGCTATGTGTGGATTCATGCTGGTCTCTGGGGCAGAGAAATGAACGGCGCCTAGACATGGGGAGACAAGGCTGCTTGTGCAAACATACAACCAGGCTACACTACCTGCTTCTGCTACAGAGTATGGAGGGCTGCAGGAACTTGTCACCATTTAGGGGACATGACCTGGGATATGAAGGAAGAGAAGCAGTATTCCAGGCAGTCAAGTCAGGGAGAGGAGGCGTCCTGAAAGAAGGAACAGCAAATGCAACCTCAGGGGCCAGTGAGCAAAGATCTAGGTGTGTGGCAGCCTGGATCTGAGCGTTTCTTATCTGGGTGACTTTGGGGAAGCTGCTCAATCTTTGAATCTCATTTGGCTTCAACAGTAAAACAGGAAGAAAAATGCCCACCTCTTGGAGCTGTGGTGATGATCAAATAGGGTAATGTCTGTAGAGTCCACGCATCCTATAAATGGCAGCGGCTCACAACCAGGGCCATTCCCATAGGCAGCGCCATGAATGGCACCTCTGGGGTTACTTGGTGTGTGGGGGGAGTGGCTGGGAGGTCTGGGCCAGGTCCCGTGGAAAGAGAGAGGATGGGGGGGGTGAAGAAGAAAGAAGGAAGAAGGAGGAGAAGGAAGGAGAGGAGGGGGAGGGGAGGAGGAAGAAGAGGGAGAGAGAGAGAGAGAGAGAGAGAGATCACCGTTCCTGGTTGCTGGCCTGAAGCTCCGGGAGGGCGGGAGGCGCGGTTTCCTGGGCAAGCGCCAGGGTCCTTGGAAGCCTGAGCGTTCTCGTGGGCGGACGTGGGCAGCGGCGGCACCGGAGATAGTCCAGCAGACAGCAGGCAGATGTCAGACGGGCAGGACGGCTCCGGTCTTGACGCAGAAGGCTCCTGGACCATCCGCCAGAGTCGGTGAGGTTGGCCAGCGGGGTTCACGTTGCGCGCCCCCACAGTCCCGGGGTGGGAGGGGCTTGGGCTAGGGTTCGAGGGGCCTACCAGGGAAGTCTCGCTCACTGCCTGCTGACAGGTGACTGGGAAGGGGGCTTCACATACTCCGGGGCTCAGAGCCACACAACTGGGTCTAGCAGGAGCACCTTGCACTTCATGTGGACTTGGGCTCCCACAACCTCAGTGTCCTCACCTGAACAGTGGGTGGCATACCACCTCACCTGTGAGCTGCAAGTACAGGATGTAAGGGATGCATGGAAAGTGTTTGGGCATCTCGAGCATTATTAGGAGACTGGAGCTGTTCACTGACATTTCAGGAAACAAAGCAGACGTCCCTCTCCATTCTTACCTCATGGGAGATCGATAGTGTTTTATTATTTGTTAGTTTTCATCTGACTGATGAAGATGACAGGAAGCAGGTTGCAGGGGAGGCCTTCCCCAGGATTGCAGGTGTTCCCACCTTGTCTTGAGGGCCACCTGGAAACTAAATCCAGAGCTCACAGACATTCCATTTATACTGCCTTTGGCAATGGCAATGTGGCTTTGAGATGTATCTGCTTTCCTGGTTGTCAGTACCTCTGGTCAGGGAGGGACATGGCTGTATGTGTCATCTTGCAGCCCTATTTGTAGCATGGGGCTTGACACAAGTCCCCTGAGAGGATGAGTGAATGAAGCAGAGGGACTTTCTGGAGTTTTCCCCATGTGGTAACTCCACTCTAATCATCCTGCACTTGACCAGTTTGGAACCATTGGTGTGGGTCCCCACCATTGACTCAACTGTGGCTGATGGTCATCCAGTCTTGGGTTTTCATCTCATTTGCTGCTCTGATAAAGGACTGTGTGTCTGGCACAATTTTTGTCACCTGTGGATGTTTTTGATTCAGATACTGGAACCTTACATTTGGCTCTGGTATGTTTCATTTTGTCATGTTCAGTCCAAATGCTCCTTTTTACCAGATGACTCTTGTGCCAGAAAAAAACTTCCTACCTATGAGATTTGTTAATTAAAATAACCGTACTGTGAGCTGTGGGCAGAATCCATGCCTTGATCTTGTAATGGTTAAAAGGGATTCATTTTTATAAGCCAGATCAAATGCAAGGTAAGTGACATTTATGTCAACTGACAAATAGATTTTACGGATCTCTGGTTAATTTTGCCCCTACTCTGTAATAACAGCTTCTTCTAACTTAGCACTTGATCATGAAGAACGGATATATGTTCAATAATAGACATAACCATTATATGAGACTTAAAGTATATCTGAAATAGGATATTCCTTTGCGAACGGTGTTTTTCAAAATGAGTTCTCAGGACCATGTGCATCAGAATCACATGGGCCACTTGTTAAAATACTGGTTCTTGAGCCCCATCCCATACTCCTTTAAATGCACATCCTGGTAGGGGGCTCTGGAATCTGTACTTTCAATATGCTCCTGGAATGATTCTGATATTTCCTGAAGGTTGAAAACTGCTTGTAGTATTAATGATGCCTAGGGGACTAATGACAAAGGTGAGTCACAGTGGTGTGGGAAATGATGTGGTAGCTCTCTATCTCCAAACATCTGTCACTGGCATTGCCACTTGTAGGTTCTGTAGTCCAAATTTAGACTTGGCAGAGGATCCCTTGTGTTGAGGAGGCACCAGAGAAAAAGGGACAGGCTATGCCAGGGCATGGAGATGTGGACCTGGCTAGTGCATTTGGGAACTGAAAACTGTTTCAGACAACTTGAGCATAGGTATGGAGGGTCCCTATGGAGAGTAATGGGCATCCCATGAACTTGAACAAGCATGTGTGTATACACGGTAGGCAGGGAGAGAGAGTCAGTGTGTTGATGATTCAATTTTTGCATTCCAGGCAGTCTTCAACTTCGCTATGTGTCATCTGAAAAACAATTCTGGTAGGGCAAGTAATGGCTGAGGCCAGGACGGTGCTGTGTGTCAGCCCTGAGATTCTGGTTTTATCCTTAAGGACATGGTATGCCATGGAAATACCTGAGCACATGGTAGCATTAATGTTTTCTTTATTTGAATAAAATGTGACAAGGGAATTCTACTCATGTGCCCTGAGTAATTCTCTCCCTAAACTTTGCATACAACAGTCCAACTTTTTTTTTTTTTTATCATCAAAACTGCTCCAAGGCCTGAGGTCATGGTGAATTTTTGGAACAAGTTTTGGCATCAGACAGACCTGGTTTGAATTTGGTGTTTATTACAGTTTATTAATTGTGTGACTATAGGCAAGTAGCTTTATGTCTCTGAGTCTCAGGTAAACTGAGTACCAGCCTTTGGGTCAAAGCAACTGTAAACATGTCTACCTGCACCCTGCTCCTTCCTGGATTTCACAAAGTGGCCAATCCCTGAGTACCATTTGTTTCTTTGCTTTGCAGGTGTCATCACTGAATCTTCTGGAACCTTCTCACATGCACCATGAACATCTCTCACTTTCTGTCCATGCTGCTCCCAGGATCCCCACATGTTCAAAACAGGAGTAAATCAAAGGGCATCCTGTACAACTTCTCTGACCACTGCCGGGATTCTGTAGACCCGATGGTCTTCATTGTCATCTCCTACAGCATTGAGACCATTGTGGGGATCCTAGGCAACCTCTGCCTGGTATGTGTGACCATTAGGCAGAAGGAGAAGGCCAATGTAACCAACCTGCTCATAGCCAACCTGGCCTTCTCTGACTTTCTTATGTGCCTCATCTGCCAGCCGCTCACAGTCATCTATACCATCATGGACTACTGGGTCTTTGGTGAGGTCCTTTGCAAGATGTCAGCCTTCATCCAATGTATGTCAGTGACAGTCTCCATCCTCTCGCTTGTCCTTGTGGCCCTAGAGAGGCATCAGCTTATCATCAACCCAACAGGTTGGAAGCCCAGTGTCTTCCAGGCCTACCTGGGGATTGTAGTCATCTGGCTCATTGCCTGCATCCTCTCCTTGCCTTTTCTGGCCAACAGTGTCCTAGAGAATGTCTTTCACAAGAACCATTCCAAGGCTTTGGAATTTCTGGCAGATAAGGTGGTCTGTACTGAGTCATGGCCACTGAACCACCACCGCATCATCTACACCACCTTCCTGCTGCTCTTCCAGTACTGCATCCCACTGGCCTTCATCCTGGTCTGCTATGTCCGCATCTACCAGCGCCTGAGGCAGCGGAAACAGTTGTTCCACAAGGGCACCTACAGTTCACAGGCTTGGCAGATGAAGCGGATCAACAGGATCCTTTTGGCAATGGTGGCTGCCTTTGCCCTGCTCTGGCTGCCCCTGCATGTGTTCAACAGCCTAGAGGACTGGTACCATGAGGCCATCCCCATTTGTCATGGCAACCTCATCTTCTTGGTGTGCCACCTACTTGCCATGGCCTCTGCTTGTGTCAATCCCTTCATCTATGGCTTTCTTAACACTAACTTCAAGAAGGAGGTCAAGGTCCTGGTGCTGACTTGCCAGCATAGCACCCCTGTGGAGGAGTCTGAGCATCTGCCCCTGTCCACAGTACACACAGAAGTCTCCAAAGGGTCTCTGAGGCTCAGTGGCAGGTCCAGCCCCATGTAGCCAGGTCCAGAGCTTCTCCTTGTCATAGTCATTGCCAGGCTCCTTCATTTAGCTAAGTGGGCACTCTGTAAGCTGAGGGTGGTACTTCATTATTACTGGCTTTCTGGGGCTGAGATAGGTTGGTAAAGCCCATTTTTGCCTCTATTTGCATTGTGAAGCCTGACATTCAAATGGTTCAGCTATTTATTCCTGGGGGACTTCTGAGTCTGAATTCTTTAGGTTACAGATTAAGCAGATGTCAGAGCCAGAGATGGACTGCAAGTAGCACACAGGATTCATTCTGGTAACTCAGCAACAGATGCCTGTCCAAGGAACCCCAGAGTTTCACGTCTACTAATGAGACTGCAAGGCTTCTGTGGGGTGTGAGAAGGAGCATGTGGAGTCTGAGCTCTGGACCTTGGTCAGCCCCTAAAATCTGTAAGAGATAATCTTTGTCGATGGCCTTTTTAAGTTGTAAAGAATTCTATGGAAGCAAGAAAGTGTGGTTACTATTACCTGATTAACACACCCAATGGCAGAGAGCAGATCTTGGCAGCCTTGGGTCCTCACACTCCTCTACAGTAAGCAAATCAACCCTGAGCAGCAGGAAGTTCAGGACTCACATTCTACTTCATTCTTTTTCTCTTTCACTATTTCTGCCATCTTGTATGGAAATAAGCCTTTAAGTATCTCCCCTTGAAAAGATTGTCAGGACCTTGAATGTGACATTTGTCATAGAGCTGTATCCCCCATACCTTAGATAGGTCTTGGCATAGAAGAGAGCTCCAGAAAGTTTTACCATGGTAGGCTGATGGAAAAGGTGTCTGCTTAGCCAAGCACATGTGCCCTGTGTCATGCTCCAGAATGGGAAGAACTGAGGTTGCTGCAGCCATACTCTATCATTTGCTGTCCCTTGCCTCCCAGGGTCTCTCTTAACGAGGCAGCAGGTCAGAGACTCTGTGACCCCCCTTAGTGTTGACCCAATGCTGAGGCCTATAGTACTCAAGGCCATGACTTCAGCCCCCTTCATTTCACCCTCTGACCGTTGAGCTGACTTGCCCTAGGTGATGTGTCATGATTCTTTCAAAGCCTCCTCACATCTTTGGTCCTCTCAGTGGCCTTCAGTTGTGGAAGGAGCAGGGAGTTCTTGGAGTCTGGCTTAATGGAGCACTGGCCAAAAGGAGTAGGGAGGGGGTCCTCCTTCCTCCAGCTAGCCAGGGAAAATGGAGAAAAGGCTATGGTAAGTATGCATATCTCACCATAGAGGTCATGGACCAGTCTTCTGGATGCTGAGCCAGATCCAAGGTTTCATCTGTGTGTGGATCAAACAGCTCATCCTTGCAGGGAAAAAAATATCAAGATTGCTCATGGACCACTTTGGGTGGGATGTCCAGACCTGGCCTATAGACTGAGACAC